GTGGCCCACGCCAGGTGCCAGCCACTTGCAGGGGAGCTTCGAATCCCACTGCTGTCAAGGCAGACGCACCCCCTCCGGCCCCTCCTGGCCCCTCCAGGAGCAGCTGTCCCCTGCAAGGCCCACTGCCCCTGTCCTTACCTCCGATGGCTCCAGCAACAAAATCCATGGACAGTGTGGGTGGTAGGAAGGTCCTGGGGTCAGCCTGCCTCGGAGAGGTCTGATGCCACCTCCAGGGTGGCTCCAACAGCTCCCAATTGGCTCCTTTCAGACCTTAAGTACCTGCGGTGGGGGGCAGGGGACAGGAAACAGGAGCCTGCTGACCAGTGGCCCTGAAGGCAGAGGCCATTCTAGACAGCAGGCGGGTCAATGGACTCCCTCCCACCCTACCCCAAAGGACCCTTGTCCCAGTGCCCTCAGGACCCAGATGTCAGGAAGTATGTGAGAGGCCACAGGAGGTGTCAGGCTCTCAGGAAGCACGCTCACTGTCCCCATGCCTGCAGGCCTGAGCCTCCAGCCAGTCCAGACGCCTCCTGGGGAGGCTGTGATGCCCCCATCCCACCAAACCCAAGCTCAGGCCTTATCCTTGCCCTTGGACCTTCTCACGTCCTCTGGAATTGCTCCCACCCAGGGAACCCTCAAAGCTCCCTTGCTTATTCATTCAACAAACATACCACTTATGTGTAGAATCTAAAAAAAAATGAGATAAATGAACTTATTTACAAAACAGAAACAAAGGAAGCCATAAGCAAAACAAAAAGGCACAGCCTAGGATATGGGAAAAAATACTTGCAAAAGATAAAACTGACAAAAGCTTAATTCCCAGAATATATAAACAGCTCATACTACTTAGTAACAAAAAAACAAACAACCCAATCCAAAAATGGGCAGAAGGCCTAAACAAGCAATTCCCCAATGAAGACATACAAATGGCCAATAGGCACATGAAAAAATGCTCAATATTGCTAATTATCAGAGAAATGCAAATCAGAACTACAATGAGGTAGATTGAATGGCCATCATTCAAAAGTCCACAAATGATAAATGCTGGAGAGGGTATGAAGAACGGGAAACCATCCTACACTACTGGTGGGAATGTAGTTTGGTGCAGCCATTATGGAAAACGGTATAGAGATTCCTCAAAAGGCTAAAAATTGATTTACCATACAATCCAGCCATCCCATTCCTGGGCATATATCCAGAGGGAACTTTAATTTGAAAAGATACAGGCACCCCAATGTTCACAGAAGCACTATTTACAATAGTCAAGACATGGAAACAACCTAAATGTCCATCGACAGATGACTGGATAAAACAGTTGTGGTATATTTATACAATGGAATACTACTCAGCCATAAAAAAGAATAAAATAATGCCATTTGCAGCAACATAGATGGACCTGGAGATCATCATTCTAAGTGAAGTAAGTCAGAAAGAGAAAGAAAACTACATGATATCACTTACATGTGGAATCTAAAAAAAAAGACAAATGAACTTATTTACAAAACAGAAACAGACTCACAGACATAGAAAACAAACTTATGGATACCAGAGGGGAAGGGAGTGGGAAGGGATAAATTGGGAGTCTGAGATTTGCAGATACTAACTACTATATATAAAATAGATAAATAATAAGTTTCGAGTTTCTACTGTATAGCACAGGGAACCATATTTAATATCTTTTAATAGCCTCGGCTGCACCCAGGCCCCATCCCCAACGAGCTCCAGTTGGCAGGGAGGGAGTCGGGGAGACAGGCCACCGATGACTAGGTGTCTGGGAGGTTGGTCAGAACCCTCTGGGGAGCAGCCCAAATGCAGGTCACAGCCAGTGCACCATCTGCTCTGTCTTGTTCACAACTCCCTGGTCCCACACTGTTCCTGTCAATTCCACATCTGTCTTCCTGGGCCCGGGGCCCCGGCCAGGTCTGCCTTCACTCTGAGTCCCCAGAGCCCAGCCAGGGACCAGCTCTGAGCAGGGCTCACTGTCAATTTGACCTCTAACCAAACCAGGACACTCCTGAAGGCCACTTCTGTCTGCTGGTCACTGGAAACCATTGAAAAGAATGGTGAGCCCCCAGCAGTGTACCCCGCTTTAGTTAACCAAACACTCTTCCTTCATCAGCTCATGGGGTCTTCATCACAACCCTGAGAAGGAGGCAGAGTTGATGGTTCCATTTTAGAGATGGAGACACTGAGGCCCAGAAAGGGGATTCATCCGAGGCCATGAGGACAGCAGGGCCAGATTTGATCATGAGACCCTCTCACAACCAGCCCCTCTCTAATGCCGAGGGCCAGACCCTGATGCCTGTAAGCCCTGTCCTTATGGTTGTGACCCCAGTGGTGAGCTCAGCATGTCCCCCTATGTGACCCACATGAAGTCCTTCAAGGACACTGAGGCTCAGGGAGGTGGTGCACGTGCCCAAGGTCCCACACAGCAAGCGTCCCGTTAACAAGAAAGCTGGCAGGACTGGAGACAGGTGTTGACATGGCAGGGTCCTGGCTGCCCTGTCCAGGTGGCCCTCGGGACAGGGGCTGCCTGTCCACCTATTTCCTGCATCTGATGAGTGAACCTGCAGGCCGGCCTTGAACAAGCTGGTGCTGATGGAGGGGAGCCCCACCTCCACCTGCCCAGCTGTTTGTGGAGTGAGTAGGGGACACAGGCTGGCAGTGGCCACTGCCACGACAGAGAGCAAAGGGCAGGATGCAGCTCTTCCAAGGCCAGTCCTGATGCCATCCTGGCCTTTAGTGAGACGCAACTCAGCGTCCAGTTAGGAGCCAGGCTGCCGGCCAGATTTGAAGAAATCCCAGCTCTGCCACTCATCCCAGCTCTGAGACTTAGTGGAAAACCCCTTGACTTCTCGACACCCCCATCTCTGCACTCACTGAATGAAGAGAGTAGCTGCCTCACATCTGTGACCACTCAGGGCAAGCTCCAGGGGTCCTTGTGGGAGTGGCCAGACAAATGCTAAGGCTGCATTAGTAGGAGCATAGGTTCTAGGAGGAGGGAGGTGACAGTCCTGTTCTGAGCAGGGCAAACACAGTTGGGACTTGGGTTCAACTGCAGATGCTACACTCGAGAGGCCAGTGCCTCAGATGATGAGGGAGCTTGAGGCCTTGGTCTAACTGAGAGAGCAGGGAGAGGCTTGGTCTCATGTTTCCTGCAGGGTCTAATGCAGTAAGCACCACCCACTCTCTGGCACCTGAGCCAGAGCCCAGGAATTGCCCTGAACAACTTTTCTCCTGCACCCCGCTTCCAGTGAAGCACCCAGCCTTGAGGTCAACCCTCTGAAGATCATGTTCAGATCCGCTCCTGCTAGCCATCTGCACAGCCCCAGCTGCCTCGTCTCCCTCTGGCCAACAGCCCACCCAGCCCATGCCCCCTACTCAAGCAACGCACGCTGCATGTCAACTCCACGCTGCGTTCTAGGCACCGGGCCACAGCAATAAACACAGGCCGAAGTCCCTTCCCCAGGATCTTACGTTCCAGGGCAGGAGACAGGCAACCAACACGATAAATAACCAAAACAGTGTCTGCCAGAGGGCAGGTCAGTGCCACTGAGAGTTGGGGGTGGGGCAGGTGTTGGGGGGGGTAGAAAGGGCAGCCCAAGAGGTGACACTTGAGAGGAGCATGTTTTCTCGGTCACTGCAGCCAAGTTTCACCTGCCTTTTGTCTCCTGAACAAACACGCCCAGACGCTACTTTCCTCCACAGCAGAGACAGAAAACAGGCCACCTCACTGTTTGGGCTGCTTACCACAGGTCTAAACGCCTCCCCACCGGGCTGTGAGCTCCTGGCAGGCAGCGTCAGGCTGGACTTGTCCGTGAGCCCACAGAGCTCAGCACAGGGTGAGCAGCCTGGGGAGAATGGACGAAGAAATGCCTGAGAAAATGAATCAGTGAATGGATGGGTGGATTGATGGATGGACAGACAGATGAATGGAAGGACTGGCTGATGGAAGGACAGACAGGCGAATGGAAAGGTGGTGGATGAGTGGACAGGTGGATGGATGGATGATGGATGAACAGATGGGCAGAGGAACCCCGGGCAGGGTCACCTGCTCACACCTGTCACGGGAGAAGGCAAAGAAGACCTCTGGTAGCTGGGTGGGCAGGGGATTTGGCCTGAGAGAACCCCACATGGTTTGGGGAAAATCTCAGCCCAAGTTTGGCTCCTGGCTCCCCCTCTCCCAGCTGTGTGACCTTGGGCCAGGTGTGTGGCCTCTCTGAGTCTTGCATGGATGACAGTAGACCTGCTGGGGGCACCTCTCCCAATGGGGAGTGTTATTCTTAGCAGCAAGGTTGACTTTCGGCCTCCTCCACCAACAGCAGAGCCCCATCATGTGTGGCCCTCAGGAGGCCTGAGCAAGGAATTCCGAGTGGTTCCCTAGGGGAAACAGACCTGACACAAACATCCGGGGCCCCTGCGAACGCAAAAGGCTCTGAGAAGGGACCGGACACAGACGGGGGGCTTGCTGGCTAGGGCTTCATGGAGGAGCCTGGCACATCCTAAAAGGCATTCTTACATTTTATAAGAAAAGGAATAACTACAAGTTATTAACAAAAAATCCAGACCAAAATGATGCAGCCAGCAAACAAAGTGAAAGGCCGGCAGCCAGGCCCGCGTCCCGCCTCCCAGTAGGATGCAAGCAAACACATTTTCTTTTTTCACTCTTGTTTTGCAGCTTACTTCCTTTATCATCAATACTCCTGGGCCGCCTGGCCTCCATGGTGCCTGGGGACTCACCTCCTTCTGCAGATCCATGGTGCCCGTGGTGTGGGTGGGGGACGTGGGTGGACAGGAGGCGGCGGAGCCAGACTGCCTGGGCTTGATCCTCGCCGGGCACTTCTCACCACGTGACCTGCCAGGACCTCAGTGTCCCTGCCTGTAAAATGGCAGTTCTGCTGCCTCCCACCCTGTGGCTTCGGGAGGACTAAAGGGTCTGCAGCCATAAGGCTCCTAGAACCAAGCCTGCAGGCAGTAGGTGCTCTAAACACCGCTGTTATGATTTAACCTGCTAGTGATGCACTTTGGATCATGTTTGTACATGCAAGTATAATACTCTGTGTGCTGCAGAAACTGCTCCAAGGGTCACACTTTGGGGTCTTTTGTTTCGGGGGCACATTCTCAGAGGGGAGTCTGCTGGGCCAGAGTCACGTGACCTATTTTTAGCTGTCACAGACTTCACATGAACTTTGGCAGGACTTGGAGGGGCCGAGGATGGGCAGTGGGGCTTCCAGGCAATGGAAATGGTTCAAGAGCCCAGAGTGGGCAGTGGAGGACCAGACCTTCTCCAGGGATCAGCAGCCCTGCATTTCTGGAAAAGGGAGCTCCTT